CAGGAGAAGGATGTCATGCTTGGTAGGGTGGAGGGTCAACGAAAGAGGGGGAGGCCTTCAATGAGATGGATTGATACAGTGGCTGCGATGATGGGCTCAAGTATAGCAGGGATCGTTGGGCTGGTGCGGGATCGGGCAGTGTTTCATTCTGCTGTGCATGGGGTCGCTATGAGTCGGAAACGACTCAACGGCACTTAACAACAACAACATCACTATGGAAGTAGATTGCCCCATCTTCCTTTGGAGGAGTGGCTGCTGGGTTTGAACTGTCAGCCTTCTGGTTAGCAGTCAAGTGCCTTAGGCTTTTTCTGACTCACATGGCTGCTGGTGCTGAAGATGACAAACCCAAGATCAACAAGTAAAGAGCACAGTCCAAAGATTAGTAGACAGGAATGGAAGGCCATACTTCAAGCTGAGCAACCATCCCAAGATCAGCAGGTAACATAGCAGGCCAGTGACAGGGCTCCATGTGGAATCCAGCTATCCCAAAAGCAAGAGGCTTATTTTGAAAGCTTCTACTTATATACTGGAAGTCATGCCCCAAAGGCAGATAATTAGCTGCTCACAGAAGATTCCACCATGGAGCTGATTACCAATCTCATCATAGAATAACAACATCCAGATGCACAGCTACTCAAAAGCAACACCAGACAAGTTGATACACAATTTTAATTACCAGCCTCTAACACACTAGATGTCATTAGGGCATGTCTCCCTCCCAGTTATGACTATGAAAAATGTCTTCAGATAGTATCAGATATCCTCTGAGGTGGAAAATGGTCCCCAGTTGAGAATGACTGATAAAAGGTGAGCGTCTTTGAAAGAGGAAGTAAAAATTTAAAAGACCTAAAAGGGATTAAAAAAAAAAGGGGTGGTGGTGGTGGTATATCCATATCCCAGTTGGGAATCTTAAGGGATATAATCAGTGATTGGCCCTGTGTTAAAATAGGGCTTGGATAGCAGAGCTGGGAGTTCTGTGAAGGCTGGACAAGCAGAGAGGACAGAAGGTTTTATTCTCGGCCTGTTTGCACTTAGGGATACCCCATGAGGGATGCAGGAGGCAGAGCCTAGAGTCCACAGGTTGTAAACAGTTCCTGTGTTTAGACATGAGGGGATGCCACTCACTGTCTACGATGGACAATGCATGTCAAGGTACAGATGGGAGGATAGCCTCATTTTTCTCCCATCAAGTGGTGGGTGGGTCCAAACTGCCAACCTTTTAGTTAGAATCGGAGTACTTTAACCATTATGGCAACAGACTTTCTTCCATTTACCACTTCTCTGAAAATTCCATTTCATCATTGTCTTCTTAGGGTCACCCATCCTACATGCATTGAGAGACTGTCTGCTCTGTGATTGGTCCTATTCTTTGCATTGGTGATACAGGAAGAACCCGATGTGTCATAAGTAAGGAGTCTACCCATCCATTCTTTGCTTTAAGTGCTTGAGGGCCTTCTGTGTGACAGGGACAGAGAGTAGCAGAGACAAAAAAGCATAAGCTCTTTCCCAAGGAGCTCTATTTGCAGTGAGTGAGAAAGAGCATCAGCCATGCTGTCCTAAGAGACAAACAACAGAACCAGGATACTATAGAGAAAGGGCAGCTGGGGAGATAGAAAGGTTCCCAGACTGGGTGGCTTTATAAGGGAGGCTAGATGGAAAATTAAAGAAATGGAGGGATATACATTTTAGACCTGTGAGGTGGGAGACATTAAATAGGAAAATGATCTAATTAGGTGCTGAGCTTAAAACCAACATTCTGCTGGCTACAGTTAAGCAGCTAAAGGATACAAAGAAAACAAGACAAACTCTTCAGTGTCTTCCAAATTTCTTGGCATTCCGGAGTGGGTGCCTCCAGCGTAACATCCATTTCTTGAAACATTGCAATGGGTATTCCTTTAATTCCTGGAACTTTATTCTTCACCATTCTTCACCAATTGCTTCAGTGCAGCTTCAACTTCTTTCATCAATATCACTGGTTCTTGACCACATGCCCCCTCCTGAAATGGATGAACATCCACCAATTCTTTCTGATACGGTGAGTCTGTGTATTCCTTCCATCTTCTTTTAATGTTTCCTGCATAATTCAGTATTTTGCCCACAGTATGTTCAATATTGCAACTCGAGACTTAAAACATTATTTGTTGTTGTTGTTAGGTGCCATCGAGTCGTTTCCGACTCATAGCGACCCCATGCACAGCAGAACGAAACACTGCCCGATCCCACACCAGCTCCACGATCCTTGGTATACTTGATCCCATCACCACAGCCATCGTGT